AAAAAACAGTCAGTCAGTCACAGCCTGTGACTCACCTGGCCTGGTCACATTAAAGAAAATATCGGAGACGGCTGTTACTGCTGTTCCCGATATTTTCTGTTCATTGAATATTGCTATTTGCCGAATCATGGCTGCGTGGATTCGAAAATCATCGGGCCCCACGTCCCACTCCCATACATACAAAACCTTACCACTTCACGAGAATAAAATATCTCCTTTAACTAAAACTCAGGCCAATTGACAACGCCGCGGGGAATCAAAAGGCACAAAGGCAGGTATTTGCCTTTTTACTTTGTTCAAATATCGAAATACCATGTTGTACTGGTCCTGACCAGCATCGTATGCGAGCCCTGTTATTTGAAATCACATGTTATTTTAAATATCGGTCACAGGTACCGACTGTTCCATATCGATATCTGTTCCGAAATACCTGTGACAAGTATTTCGGGTCATCCCTAGTACAAACCAATATTTATATCATGGGCCAAAATAACATGTGTCAAAAAATCACAGGTACTTGGAACAGGTAGGAGCTTGGAACAGTCACACATGGAACCTGTGACTGAAAAATGCCTGCCTATACTTTCTTACGAGGAATAATTATACCTACTTTTACTGGACCCCGCACTCATCTAAGCAGATCCATCTGCTGTGGAATGTATGTTCTACGAATCGCACTATACAACTGTATCAATAAAAAAAACCAGAAGTTAATTATTTAATTTTATAGGTATTAGTACGTACGTACAATCAAGTCGTCACTATATCATACCAAACATAATAACACCTGTAAGAGGCTCCTTAATCAAATTGGCAATCATACTTGATTTGAGTGAGCAACGACGAACGACGTCGATTAGTAATTATTGCGATTAATTATTACATATTTGAAACAAATTATTTTAATATCCTTTAACCGGCGTTAGGTTCGAATGCACCAACATTTGAATCCCAGCATTGAAACTCGCTCATGGTCACTGCCAATAACTTATGGGTAATTCTTCAGAAAACAACTATTTTAATTCCTAATAAGAAATCAATGTAACGCAACAACTCGCGAGTAATTTATTAATAATTAGTTTTGTAATGTGGTAATATACAAGCGATTTACTTAGAGGTTGAAAGCCATAACGGAAAACACTTGTTCCATATTAAGAAACCCGTGCGAGTYTCATAATGGATATTGCATTAGATCTGTTTAATTACGTATAATTTGCATTACGGAAAAATGTTCAGAATTGCCTTTGCTTAGTACGAATTGCTAACCAATGGTTAAAAACCAATAGAATTAGATGAAAATTAAATGGAATTTAAGTTCTAACTCAGAACACCTACATTTTATTTACTCTATTAATATGAATAACTAAAAATGGTGCAAATCCAAATTTTAAAGACCTATTTTAGTTATGATATAAGAATATTTTTGTTGAGTTTTGATTGATGAGTTTTTCCGAATTTCTTTCCCAGTCGCGCTGCTTGAGTAGTTTCACTAATTTATTTTCAATTAATTTGAATTAAAAAATGTTAATTTTCATCCAGTGTACGTATGCATTAGTTTCTATAAAATGTATCTATTTTGTTTGTTTCATCATGCATTTCAGTTTGTTTCTTGTATTGTTCATTCTGTCTGACTTGTATCTTGGTTAACAAAACATTAAAAATTTTACAATATTTTTGGATTGGCGTGTAAATTTGAATGCCATTTTAAGCAACATAAGGTATACATGTTTGAGTTACTTATCATTGCATTTCAGGTCAAAATTTACCAATTTTTCAAAGAATATAATTGATAAAACGCGTAAGTCATGAAAAATAAAGGCAAGTTGCTATTTATTTTAGCCACAAAGAAGATTTTCAAAATTTAAGTAAAGAATTGTGACCTTTTTGATTATCTCGTTAGTTTGGAATCTGCGCTCTTGTTACCTCTATAAAACCACATAAACTCCATAATTTAGAATAGCAAGCAAATTGTTGTTTTGCTTTGTTGGTGCAGTAATAAACAAGCAAAACTATTTGGAAATAATCTTTTTCAACAATGTAAAAAGAGTTTTTATGCGTTGGACATAAGAACCAATTGTTTGTCTTGAAGCATAAAAAACAAAGTTAAACTTTTCATAATCTGTACTATATTTTAAAGAATTTCGTGAGAACATCAATGACATAATACCTAGAATTTAGATTAGCAGAAATGTTTTAAATACATTTTCTGCAAACAAAAATCCAACGTTCTCGTTGCTTGTTCTTACGAATGATTAAATTTACGTTCGAAAGTTCTTATAGTTTTTTCGTAAAATTTTCACATTCTACCTTTCCTTTGATTGTTTAACTACTGAAAAAAGCTGTGTGTAAAAGTGTACTAATAAATCAACATGAAAACTTAGAACATGAAACAAATCGTGAAAATTAGTGTGCTAAACCTTATAGCCCGTTTTTTGAACAGTGTTTAACACTAAGATGCAAACACGTTTCGCAACTTCGACCCAGGCAATTTTTCCATATCATTGAAATACCATTGTATCTGTTATCTTGGAATAACCAACCGATCATAAACCAAAATTTTAAGAAATTAATGGTTAAACAGAATATGTATCACATGATGATACTGAACTAGTCGAAGTCACTTTCGATTCAAAGTCTATTTTTTGGCGTTTTATAAATATTTAAAAACTTTAGTAGTGTCGCATAAACACTTAAATAAATGGCATATGAATATAAATTTATAAAATATTATAATGTATTCCTAGTTAAATTTTCTCGTTCAATAAATGTTTTGATTTTATTTAACTTTCATTAGGAACATTTTTCACATATGTAATGCTAAAAATGTGTTTTTACACTCTGTACACAGATATCTCGATATTAACTGCACTCAGTAGAAAAATTAGTGACAAAGGTTACAAATCTCTAAACTAGTCAATAATGGACACATCATCTAAAAAAACAACAAAACAAACAGAAACATTTCGCAACTTTAAATAAAACTTTAGTACAAATAATTAAGTAATTTTAGCGCGTTTTGGAGCGCAACCCAATCTTCCATTACGTCACATCTTAATAAGCTTAAAACAATCTCATATTCCTTATTATATTACTATGAAAACAAATATCACCGCATTTTCTTTTATTAACTCGCCGGATCGGTCGAGCAAGGTTTATCATTGCCCACGTACTACCTATAGTAACTTGGCGTCAATTATACAAAGTTATTCGATTTGTAATTTATTCCGCTATTAATGTGTTGAAGTCAAAGTTGCAAAATTCGTGTTTATTGGCACCGTATAACAATAATTAGATATTAACTGGCTGTTTACTTTGAAGCCAAATACAACCAATCATCGTTGTGACATTGTGATAAACAGGGAGAGCTGACTGCATATTTTTATTGGATTTAATCACATTGATGTAAGTTATACATTTACTTTCTCTATATTTGAACACTGGGGACTTTAAACCATCAGCCCACAACAAACAACTATTTAAGCACTTATTCCACACCTTATTACGATGCAAAGTTCTAGGTGATATTTTATTCATAAGTCATATTCACGTCTACCGTATAAATGTCCGTAGGTTTGATAATTTTGTAAAAAGCTTCTAGTCTCCAAGTAAAAAAATTATACACTGGCAAAGTTAATTTCATTATTACTGCTGTCTGGCTATCTACATATATTGTTTTAAACTTCACTACGACATAGTACCTATATTAAGTGCGTGCTCCAATTTCCTCTTTTTTATAAAAATGTACCTAATTAGAGAAAATTGACGCAAAGTTTTTAATGCTGTTTTAGAGAATTGTAGTCTGCTGAAATTAAATTATTGAGATTCACGCCCCGTAGAGCCGTATAAATAATTTCTAATGCCCAACAAACAGTTTACAAAATTATTTCTAATGTTTTTATATTTCATTTTATTATAATTATTCACACATTTGAAAGTAGTCAACGTTCTTAAAAACTAGCGGTTTACAATAAAACGATATCAATTTTTTTTTTGGTTTTTTAATAAGTTTCGTTGTTAATTAAAATAATTTTTGTTTTCTACGCTTTACCTTCTCTTTACGTTTAATAGGTTTCCTGAGTTGCTGAAGCGAACTTCAGGTTTCCAGCCTTGTATAAAGTTGGTATTATTGCAAAAAAAATTCAAATCGCTTATATTTTATTCAGTTCTTAACTTATTCATCATATTTCAAACAAACACGGTTTGTTTTTTCGGAGATGCCAATTGAATGCGCTACAAACATTTACATTTTCAAGTTTCTGCTAATAAATAAATATATAAATCTTGATATTTCAATGAGCGGTACCGGGGCTAACGCGTAAACCGTTAATCATGAAAAAGCAAGCTTTTATATTTAGTTTTACAAGTTCTTTCATTTCAATAGCTTGGATTCCTTTAGAAAGTTTATTTGATATTTTTCTTCACTTTCTATTCAAACGCGGGCAAGAAACTCTGCTTAGGCAAGTATATAAACTAATAAAAAAATAGAATTGATGGATTTTTAAATGGAATTCAAACAGACAGGCATAGGAAAGTTGTACCAATTTAAATAATTAAACATGTCGCCAATTTTTGAAACTTGAATCATCTATTTATGACATTTTAGGCAATATTTTAATGGTAGATTTGAAATAATCTAATACAAATGCAATGCAGTCTCGCGTGTTTGTATTATCTTGATTTGCAGTAATATGATTTACATTGATAAGTAAAGTTTTTTAATAGTTGGTCCACTTCATAAATTTAAGTATTTAATTTTAAAACATATAGAGCGATTTAAAGCAGCATTTTGGCTTCCAAAAATATCCATTTATGGCAAAAGTAATAACTCAAGTTCAAGGCTCAATACAGTAAATATCTATAAAATAAAAGTAATTTCCTGTCGAGGAAAACATAGCGACGCAATATTGCGGAAAAAATTACAGGATATCCCCAATAAATGAGGCGCCTACGGCATATTCCTACAGGCCCCATTTAACTAATGGAGAATGTCATTTATAGGTGAAGATCACGCGATTACACTTTAGAAATCTAACAAAAAAACAGTTTTATTGTCTGCATTGCATGAGTGCTGCAGCACTGTTCTCGTTTAATAAAATAATTCAACCTAAACAGAATTAAGCACTTTTACACTAATAAGCTTTCGATTTCTCTTGCGGCAGCACTCAGCTCATTAATTGTCCATATCTTATTTAATTTTTAATTAAAAATTATTACTCCCATATTAATATTTTTGGTACCAATTTATACATACATCCTTTCTATATTGATCGCAGATTAGATTATTATTGTAAACAGATCACGTATATCTAGCATGAAACAGGTCCAGGTTAGCAGAATGTTTAAACCCTGAACGCATATCATGCGGAGTGTTGCACGCCTTCAATGTTCAACGTACTTAAAAGATCAAATGAAAATTTATGTCGACCGGTACACCTAAGTCATGATAAAGATAACGACTACATAAATTTGTTATGTTTTTTCCGTTTTCAGTTGTGCCATAAACACTTGGCAAGTTGTTTCCCGAATATCAATCACTCGCAGATAATCGCTGGTGCGTGTTGGTCAGTTATTAGTACTCATCAATGATAATGAGCAGTGAAACAGATGGCATGGCGGACAAGAAGAATCAGATCAGTCTGGTGGACTTTGCAATTTTGCAGTTTTTCTATGCATTTCAAAGTGTTTATGACAGGATCGTCTCGATTTTAAACTGGTAAGTTTATTAAGAAAGTAGTAAAATTAGTTCAAAAATGATTTTTGAAACATTATTCAAACTGGGAATAAAACTTCAATAAGCACACACATCTAAAGCCTGCATTCTAGCACAATTTACCAAAAAATATATCAATATCGCCTATTAAGCGCAAGCGGAAATAACTGAATTTATGACCGACAAGATATGAAAATATAGCGTAGATTAAATATGAATCCTCAGAATAATGCTGATATATCTGTTTTATAGGAGTTACTGGAAACAACAGCCAGCTTTGGAAGCGCCCCCACAAAGCCCCACAAATGAGAAACGCCATTTTATCCAACTATACAAGACAGAGCCGCTGGAAGAAGGCGAACAACCGATATGCTTTATAAATGTAATCGAATTCGACAGTTCCTGTCCCGAAGAAGAGATTAGGAGAAGAAAGCGATCGTACGATTTTTCAACTAACGAAAGTATTTTAAAGTATCAGCGCCATAAAAGAAGTCGAAGCGATAACGAACTACAACGGTTTTACTGCAGTAATTTACGGTACTAAATTACCTCGTGTAACTTTAACAACCTAATGAAGACTGAATCACTATTTTGTTAGCAATGGTGACATGAAAGATCTAAGAGGATTTCCAATAGTCGCTAATTGTCTGTAGCTTGCGGATTTAATTTTATACTTAATTGCTATAACGTACACAAACATCACTAGATCTCGATATATTAACGAGTTTTATACCCAGGTGAATGTGATATTGATCGGTGTTTAATGTAGAGAGTTGGACACTTCTAGAAATAATTAAACTGATAGAGGGATAGAGGATTTATATGTTAATTATTAAAAGTATTATACATAGTAGTAAGGTAGTAAATTAACGTCTATCAAGCCCTTGAAATAGTAACACTTGTAAAAAATAGTGGCTTGTTTTATTAAACCTGCATTTTTAAATACAAAAGCCGAGTGACAATACTAATTCGTAGAGCAAATACAAGTCTTGTGGATGGGGCGGACTGGAGAAGGCAATTTAATCAAAAACAACCTGGATAGAAATGTGTATTACACCACCAAACTGTTACAAAAAAAATAAAATTTTAAATTACCTTTAATTTAGTTGAAACCAGCTTTACTTAAAATAATTGATATACCGATATTACTTGAAAATTACAGTTGACTTACAAAACGGCAATAAAAAAAAGTTTCTCATACTTCTCTAGGCACCAAGGGCAAACACATGTTGTAATAGGCAGTTTTATTCCAGAATTCAACGCCTTTCCAACCGCACCAGCCTTTACCTTGAATAATGTTCAAATCCTCACCTCCAGTATAATGAGGATCTAGAATGAGGAACTTCAAGTTCCCAGTTTGTTGATTATAATCAACGCCTAGAATTGTATGCGCCAGTACACCTCCACCTTAAACAACAAATGAAACAGTTAATAAAACTTTGTTCTCGCATTCCTTTATTTAAATATGAACTTACCTATCATAACAGGGGATCCGTGAGTCTCGAAATGACTTACTAATTCTGGTCCTTTAGTAGCCATATCTTCCCCGGTACTTACATAAAGAATCTTCGAAGTTATGCCTAAAATATTTGATAGAAAATAATTGTACCGTCCGTCCACAAAGCAACAATCAAGATTATAATTTTCTGAGTTAATTTTAATTTTTAAAACGTCCTAATTTGAATCCTTTTACGTTAATTTCATTAAATTTCCTAAATATGCAGTAATTGGTCAAATAACAATACCTAGTAGAGAGTTTAAAACATAGCTAACTTCAGTGGATCCTATCCACTGTCTCGAATCAATAAAACTTCTGGGTTTATCACCCACATCAACTAAGCACTTTTGAATCTCTTTGAATGTGGGCACCTCTTGATCGGTGTAACCCTACAAGTAATAAATGGAAGTAAAATACGTGTTTTACCTGACTATTGGCGACGTACCTGCAACTTATACCAAGATGCTAAGGTTTGCAGTGATCTATACGCGCAACCCCAGCCATTATCATCCAATCTGTTCTGGCAATAATGATAGTATTCATAATTTCCTTTTACTAGGGCTAATTTGCCAGCTGTAATTTAAAAAGGTCAATAATAGTTTTTGTGGCATGACTAATTCAGATTAAAAACACACACTTTCGATAAAGCCTTTCAGTACATATAAACTGTGCTCTGATACTTATTCATGCACCATTATATCCAGATATATATTTGTGAACATCAGTATTTAATGGTCGAAGTAAAGCTTAAACTGAAAAATAACGCTCTCAAGCCCGAAGGCTGTAAACGTTCCTCCTTTCTTCTATCGAGTTTATGGAACTGGAATTTCTGTTTGCATGAACGCAGTATGAAATCAAATTTAAATCTCGCCTAGTTACAAATAAAGGCAACTCACCATTATTTGTTGGCTTCAATCCTTCATGAACATTGATCAAAGGCCCACTTTTTGAATCCGAAAAGTTAAATTGATTGGACTTTCTAAACATCGGCATAATTTTGCTCAGCAATAAACTGTCATGTAACAATTCCCTCTCTTTTCCTAGAATACATATAAACAGAAATATGTATTAATCGAACCAGGCTTTCGCGGTCATGGTTTGAAACAGGGAAGTTTTCCCGGCTTTTAGGCCGTCGTAAAAACAATGTTTTTCTAACGTTTCGCGAGTATGAATGGCTTGTATCCTCAGAGATGTTTCGCTGGAAAACTGACGCTGGATTGAGCTTTATTTGAGCTTGTTCGTCACAACGATGGCTTAGAAGCGCAAAAAACTCACAAGTTTTCTTACTAAACTAAACTGTAAACTTACACGTTTACCCTCAACCTTAAAAAACGAACTGAGCTTACTTAAGTCTTCTGCTGATTCCGCAAACACTATTCGTGTGACGAAATGTCCGCAATCTTTTGCAAAGAAATGTTGAGTATTTGGCAACTGTAGATTTCCTTCGATTGGATTTTTTTTTATATAATATTGAACAACGCTCTCATATAACTTTATGTTTTTGATGGCACATTCCAGCAGTATATCATATATTCTTGACAACGTAGTACCTCTACTAATTGTGGCCAGGAAATCAATTTTTATTGGAATGTTGAGTACAGCCATTCGCTCTGAAAATGGTCTTAATAGAATTGCTCGTATTCGCAAGTTGTTGAAGAAGCCACTCACTTTTACAAATGATTACAACAGGTGAATGTCCATTCAACTCCTTGCTGGTGTGATCTTTTGTCACTCTTTTCATTAGATTTGCATCTACTATTTCCAAGCCTAAAAAGTGTTCAGTTTTTTTCTTTTTCTGTCCTCCTTCCCCATTTTCATCCTGACATAACTCGCTAAAGGCTGGATCTCCAGTTAAACCAATGATGCCGTTTTCACTGTCGCTTGCAACGAGCATTACATTCTGTTTTGTTAGAGTAAAAGCCATTATTCCTGAAATTCCAAACGCTGCTCAAAATAATAAAATCGCACCTTTAAGACTTTACCTGATGCTACAGATTTCCTTAACACAGTAAAGCTATTGCTGATACTCTCCTCGTTTTGCTCAGTGTTTATTTGAAACTCTCCCTGTAGTCTTATATGGACAAACTGAGAGTAAAAGTCTTGGATTGAAATTATTGAGCTACTCGAACTAACTACTTTATTGTTGGATACAATGTTACACTGAATATCATTTTCGACTATGAGCTTGACTGAGAGAAATATGGGATTGTCTGTGACCTCCACCTTAGAACACCTGCCCAGAGCTCTTTCAATATCAATGGTACCTGAATAGGCCTCAAATATCCCTGCAAATGTCGGTTTTAAGCAACACTCCCCATAGGGTGAACTTTCCCAATATTTACCACAAAAGTCTACTTCCGCTGGTAAAGAATATCTACTAGACACGTCTGATTCATTATCAAGCTGTAGGCCTAATATAAAATGAGTGTCTTTGGCGAAAATACCATATAGTTTACCAAAACAAGGCTCTTGTAGAGTTTTGAGCCTCTGAAAAGATGTATGAGCTACAAACCAGAATATGGAAAAGCCTAGGCAGACTTACCTGCACTAGAAGATCCAGAATATTTATTCTGGGCTTCATTTTGCACATATATTACTTAAAATATGTTGCAAGTGGACTTTCACAAAATTACAAATGATGTGGCAGAGACAAGTACTTGTCTCTGGATGTGGATCTGAAATTTGTGATTGCCTGTCACTTGAGTTTCAAATAAGGTTTATCGCTATTCTTCCCATTGTGTCAAAATAAGCAAAATAGTGAGTGGTACAGGTGACAGGATGTGATTTTTTAAATTTATTTGGAACATATTTTTTAAATATGAGAATTACGGACAACCTAGTCAAGAAATATGCCTTTAGGGACATTGTCAAATGTTAAACTCGAGCTCTACGAACGGTGCTCTGGAGAAGAAAATTCTGGGTACAACCAAAAAATGTTGCGTGAATGTCAAATGTCATTACCATCCTAGCTATCACATGACCAACTTTTGTTCCCGTGACCAAAATCGCACTAAAATTCAAAATTCTTGAATAAAATTCGGATTTAACCTTCAATGGACATTCTGGATCCTCTGCGCCAAAGGTACAGCATGGTAAAGCTTTAAAATGCACTCTAGTTGCATTCCTTAGACTATTATATAACGCCATTGGCAAGGTCACAGCAACTGATCACTTTGGATAAGTGCTTGTTGAGGGTATAGTAAAAGACAACCGCGTTGTGATCTTTTAGTAAAATTGAAACTGCGAATTCCTTAATTCTGGACGACCTTAAAGATACCCAAATGGAAAGTGATGACGAGCAACCCTCTGTCGAACATCTTGCTCCCCAAACCTTGCTAGAAACACCTGATACGGACGTGCAATATTCAATAAAACCGTCAGATGGTAAGCATACAGTTATTTAATCTAATTAACTTATGCAAAGGACCAGGTTCAATCGATGACCTCCCTGTCTGCTGTACCTATTTTTAGTGAACTAACTGATAAACAGCAATTCAATTTTTTTCTTTTCGAGCCAATCCAACCTCACTTTACTCGGTCTTGCACGGGTTTACGTCCTAGTGTGGTCCCTAGAGAAAGTAAAATAATTATTTTTACTCTTACTTATTTTACTTACTCTATGGTGTGGTCCTAGTTAAGTTCACGTGAATGCTTTTGTTCAGTTTTGCTTAATTCCACGCGTGGAGCTAAAATTTGTGAGTCCTAAAACTGGGTGTTAAAATGATATGGGAAAAACCCTTAACTTACAAGCAACTTTATTTACATCGAAATGCTTAATACTGCAAGCCACAATGATGACTGTTTGAACGGATAATAGAATATGGTTTGAGGTGCTGGTATTACCAGTGTAACCTTGCTGTAAACTGTTAAAAAATGCACTTCTGAGTGGCAAGTCAATGTAGTATATACGATAAATCCTCATCAAATTCTAAATTTTCACTCATGGTCCACTAGTATAATGTACATATTATTCATGTTTTTCTAGGTCCAGTAATCACCTATAGAGTTTTGCAAGTGCAAGATGCATCAGAAAATTTCGTAACTAGTGGCTCCTCGTTTACCACTGCTAGTACTCTGCCTGAGGTAATCGCAGGTGCCAGTTTGAATGGTCCCATTTACGTTATCGGAAGCACTGATGGATATGCTTCACCTACCGGTTCCAGACCAATTGCACCAAGATCAGCTATTTTGGAAGCACCAGTTGTGGTTCAAGTTAAAAAAGTATGCTTTCCGTGGATTTTTTTTGCCCCGGGCATAGTTTTCTCTAAATTGAGCAATTTGTAGAAAGACGAAAAACGAAGGACTACGCACAATGAAGTTGAAAGACGCAGACGTGATAAAATAAACAACTGGATAGGGAGACTTGCAAAACTCCTGCCAGGAAATCCACAAGAGGTAAAAGGTACTGGGCAGTATGATGGTCATTCGAAAGGAGGCGTTTTGTCTAAAGCTTACGAATATATAATCGAATTGCAAACTACAGAATCGCGCATGGGCATCTATATAAAAGAAAATAAGAAACTGTCGAATGCAGTCGAGAACTTGAGGTCGACAAATTACGCCTTAGAAGCAGAAAATGCCGAACTTCGAGAGCTTCTTAGAAGTCAGGGAATAGAAGTTAAAACATCGACGTAGCTTAGGTCAAGTGTGGTTTGTTAGGAACGATTTCACGTAGAATTCCTTGCTTTTGCAGCAGTCCACATGTACATGAAGTTGATAAATATTTGAAATCTACAAGTGCATGAAAATCGTATAGCACTGAAGTAATACGATATCCTTTTGACTGATTGCAAAAATTGCAATATATATATGGTTATCCGTATATGTTCAATTCTTTTTACAAAGAGCTGCTAAGTTTTGACCTATTAGGATTGATATAAATCAACATCCACTTTTATACAGTGTTTGTTAAAGGTATGTACACTATTCATTCATTCGATAGGTGAAAAATACCTTTAACAGCCACCGTGGATCGTAATAACGAATAAAAAATTGCGTAGCCGTAAAATTATAACGATACTGGTAGTATGTATATATCGCCTTAACAGGAAAAGCACTGATTAAGTTAATATTGCCCTATAACGATTTTCTGCGATATGAGTTGCTGATAAATGCAAACTTAAATTGGATTTGTTGTCCATTTTTTTAACTCAGTCATTATATGTATTTGTTGTAAATTAAACGCTCAGATAACTATAAGCATGCCTGTTAAGCTTGTCACAATCACTTTATTAAAATCTGAATTAAACCAGTTTTATGTAGAACATCGACTATGGCTATTATTATTTGACTCAATATACATTCGTATATTCATTCGCATTTTTCATACGTGTTTTCGCGTAACTTAAAAATGACAATAGTAAATATGTAGTACGGAAAATGACGGCTTAGATGCTTGTTACAATTGAAAATGTAGAATTTATATTGCGAGAATTTCGTAAAACAGCTTAGTTTTCCTCGTTCCTTCGCGTTATATACAGAAACGTCAATGTTTCAGATTATTTTGGTTTCTATTAATTGTACGAGTTGTTTATTATTTTATAAGACTTAGGTGACATATCTTTTCTATTTTTTGTTATGTGGTATTTTTATTGCCTAGTTATATAACATATATTTATTAAAGGTAAATCTAGTTTATATTCTATGTTAACTAACAATGTGCATTGTTACTAACTAGCAACTAAAGTTCTGTTAATAAAACATTCAATGATAGTAAGTTTCATAATTCCACTCAATATCGTTCGTTTATTGGTTCGATAATTTTGGCGCATTGGGTGAAGCAAAACTACCGAGCAAAAAATTATTCTTCAACCAACTTTTTAATTCCAGCATTTTGTTAGGAGGTACCCTTTCGACGTGTCTGAATCTTAGATACGAACAAAATGTATATTAACTCAAGTAATATTTACAAAAAATGAATACTGCAGATAACGTTTCATAGCTAAATACCTTTGCCAATGTGAGTCAAACCTCCTGTATATCAGGGAAAAAGCTGTTATTGTTTGCAGGTTGTCTATGATAAAATAATGAAAGAATAACATTAGCATACAGTTTATTTAATGAGACAAGACCCTTACTGAGTATAACACTAATTATTAAAATATGTTGCTAAGAGTAAAATATATAGTGATTAACTACATGTAATCACGAGACACCTGTTAAATACTTAGACCATTATTATATTTGGAAATCACATTAAAAAAGGATGCAAAAATTGTTTAACCAAAAGTTATGGCAATATGTATTAGCAAGAAAAAGGATTTCTTTGTAACACCTCAATCGGCCATTTGTAGGAGAGAATTAATGGTTCTGTCCTTGTTTCCCCTATTTGCTTCAAATACAGTTTTAATCACTTCTTTGTCCAAGTTGGGGAACATTTCTTCAATCTGAAATTCAAGAGAAATTCGGGCGCGTTCAAACAGATATATATAATAATCAGGATATTATTACCTGTTTCAGATCAGTTTCGCTTAAAACAAGCTCTAACGGTGGCAATGAATCTCCGGCTTTGGGAGAACGATGAAATACTTTTATAGGAGGCCCATGCGGACCGCCAACATCAACTCTTGGAACAAGCATCAGTTGGTTATACGGCTGATACACATATGGCCCAGCAGGCTGGAAAATATGATCTTTAAACAATTTAACATTAACTTATGAATAAAACATACGCTATAAGTCATAACTAAGAAGATCATTCCTTCCACATCTTCGCCTTGTTTGCCGCTTAGTTTATACCAGTTCTCATCCGTTTCACCAGCCAGAACCTTGGGCGGTATAGTAACGAGAGACCAAGCTATTAACTCATCCATAGTAAATGATCGTTCGTCAAAAATTTCGATGCTTATTGTTTGGATTCCTTGGGGAACCATGCTGAAAAACATTTTTATTCACACTTTTTGCCTGAAATATTTGCGAAAAATCTACTTTTCAATTGTATTTTACATCTTTTTAAGTGGGCAATACATATACTGTAAACTGCAAATCTTAAAATGAGAACAAAATTTGCAAGAATCACATTATCATATTTTATCTAAAGTGTATTATTTTTGCTTGCTGATTTCTTATTCTTTCCAAATTTACTTTTTGCTTGAAATTTTTTAAGCGTTTCTGAATAGTATTTCAGTCAGTCCAATCATTCTTCGCATCTGCTGAGTTTCGATTCACTAAACCCAAAAATGCGTAAAATAAGCCTTGATTGAAAGGTTTGAAGAGAAACGTTTGGAAAATTTACCAACTACTACTAAACATACCAAGAGATTACTTTATTCCATCTAGGATTCTTTCCTCCGTTAGGATCAGTGGGAGTTTCATAGGTTGAATGTGCAATTCGAATGCGACAGTAGGGATCCATTCTGGTCATTCCATAATTTTTCGTTAGTTTCGCCTGGACAATTGTAATGTTTAGCCTGCCTGCTGCATTAGGAATGGCTCCTACAAACAACAGATTATTTAAAATTGGCATATTTTTGCCGAAAAATTCAATCAAATGGCAAACGCCTTGTTCTATTACTAACCCACAGTGTATTGCTGTTGCAAGGCAATAGCAGCTTGACGATCTGCAGCTTCTTGCTGTTCTTGGGGGGAAATATTGAGACGCAAAAAATCTTCTGGGAGTGGTCCCAACAGTACCTAAAAACGAACATTGACTCTCACCAAACTGATTTCTTAGCCGGTTACATTCCTACAGTCTAGAACATGATTTCCATGCTAGTTTTGCATCTAAAGAAGCTTTAAATCAAGAATTTTAAGACTTACTCTGTTTCTTCGTTCCCTGATTTTGTCAGAAACAGCCGATGCCATCGCTCTGTAAATGTTATTTGCCTGAGAGATAAAATTCATATATTTGAAGCAGAAACAGCAGTATTTATCTGTTGCATTGAATTAAGGATTTTATTATTGTTTACCTATATATGCCAGTTAATTGATTATTATTTTGACAAACAGCTGATTTAAGACTAACACTTCTGCGTCTCTTTTAAAGAACATAGAAACAAGGGGAAACTTACTTGTGACTATGGAGCGGCCTGACACACACAAACTTAACTTAACCTCACTTTATGTGGTTTCTGATGTCACAGACTACATACTATTTAGACCTCCCAGTCTTTTAGCACCGCTGGCAGCGCTCTTGCGGTCTGAGACACCTAGCTTTCAATTTGGCGCAACATTCAATTTTATTTTAGACTTTTTAGGGTTATGGGATAAAAAATACACTGGCAAAGCAATTGGATCAATATGTATTGATATTTTGTACACTTGTT